AATCGACCAGAATCGACCAAGCGTTAGTGAAAAATGTGAGCTTGAATCTATACCATCCTGGTACCAACATATTGGTCTAGAAGGAGTTTAGGTTTTGAATGTAGAAGCCTAGTGATGTACTCGGAAAAATAAAATGGCGTGTTTGGAAAATGCCAGTCAATGACGAAAATAAAATCGCTGTGTAATGCCTATTGTTCGCTATTATATGAGACAGTGAGTCAGTGATATTTTTTTCAGCGCCCTATCGGAGTCGTCGACCGATTCCAATGATTGATTATGGAGTTTAACCGGTCAGAAGTTCTTCAGCAGGTAAAATTATTGAACCAAGAGCGTCTTGATCCACAACCAGTTTCGCTGGTGAGGTAGTGGAAGACGCACAACATCATGTCGGATTCCTAATCCAACATTATGTGGACAGTTTACGAGTGCCTGATTGGATTTAGAAAGACGAAATCTACGCTGAGCATATCGGCCTTAAGTGAGCATCAAAAGCGTCAATTTCGGTATCACATTATGGAGAAGTAGGCCCCAGAAAGAGGTGGCGAAAGCTGCATCTTACACATGATTACGGCACATTTTAAGGCTCCCTGTATTTCGTACTAGAACAGTAACTATGTGTTTGCAATCGACTCACGAATCCAATTCACGAACCTCAAAATGGGGACACTTCTGCGTAAGCAGAATTGGACCTACGAGACATCAGCACCTTCGTACTTCCTCAGCCGTAAAGAGTTGACGGCTTAGTTGAAGTAGGTTTGTCCGGTCCCTAACAACGAAATAATGTTCCTAATGTAATGTATCGCCGGTTCGCACCAGACGGTCGCCGGAGGATATAACAGTTCAGTAGTGTTTGGGAGAGTACAGTATTATCCGGAAAAGCTCTAGACATAACAGATGATACCGCCAACTCATTTTTGATTGCGATGGACGCTGTTAGGCTTAGGCCGGCTGACGGCTGTCAGTTGGCTTCCATGAGTTTTCCTGGCAATATTCCCTCTTCGGGTTTACACGGATACTTCGCATTTATTTATGCTTGTAAAACCGTGCGTATCCGTCCAGCGGAGGGACTACGTTTGACATATAAAGCTATGTCCGATGGCGGCAAACTAAGAACAGTAAAAGAGAATGATTGTGATATCACGTTAGTCCTTAGTTTCTGGAAAAATTCCGTGGTATTGCCCGCAATTGCGCCACTTTACGGAAACGGCAGCATCAGCATGACAGTGAACGAGTGAGTCGTGGCTCACTGTGTTCCATCATAGTTGAAATTTAGTATCCAGCGTTTCTTCAACTTCCGACTGCCAGACTACATTTAACCGTACAGAGTCGGTTGACTTACCTCAAGGAAAATTAACTGGGGACCCAATATCTATATTTGGCACCCCCGATTCATCACGATCCACCAGTACGAAAAGAATAGACTGTTACACTAGTCATGACGTGCCGAAGAGTACAGTGCACGGCTGATCCCTTTACCTGTAGATGAACAGGTGTCCCGTTGTCCAGTTCGAAAGGTGAATTCCGTTGGAATACATTATTCGACGTTGAAATTCGTAGCGCCCACACATTCATCACGTAAGTTTTGCTAAATAAAACGATGCAGTTTGTACAGGGCTACATCGTCACTCTGCTGTTGTTTGTGATCAATCCCAGCAGAATGGTTTGGGTGTAATAATTGAGCTGCATAATTCAGCTGCATATTGAAACTGTTTGGCCATTTCAGTAATTTATGATACAATGTTGATGCTTAATTAGTGACGGTAGTTCCAAAGGAGTCATTCCAACTCAAGGAATACTTCAAAGTGTTTTTTTCAAGAAAGCCGATGTAATGTTCCGGAGAACATCATCCAATCCAATTTGTTGAAATATTTGAGTAGTAAATAATGATGGGGTGGGTAAACAGCAGAATGGTACATGTATTCACAAAAGAAACATTTCTGGTCGGTAGTGGAATGTGACCACGAGCTTAGGGCTTATTCATGCCTCTGATGACCTAGTATTCTATTTGACTTGTATCGTTATTTCTGTTTGGGAGTAAGATTTTTCTTGCCTGCTGAATGGCACAGATCATCCATTGAGAGCAGTTACCCTATGGTCATTTCACAAGTCCCCTGAGTAGAGATCGTGCGCAGCATCCCTGTGGTATTAGAGCACATCGACTAATAGCACGCCAGCCGTTGTGAGCCAATAGTGTCTCCTGCGTTTTACGGTTCGCAACAAAGGTGCAACCAACTGCCGCAGAGAAACAAACAACCGTTTTTAGGCCGGTTAGTGTACACAGTGCCAGCTTTTGCCGTTCGATTTTCGTGAAAAACCATGACGAAAACTTAGTGAAGAAAACTTTCAGCAAAAGTCTCCTAAATAGATAATCCCATGGGTCGTTTACAAAGCAGTCGAAAGAACTCAACCTAGACCGAATAACCAGCACATACTCTGGACCATAATTAGTCAAGTGCTCTTGGCCTAATCTAATATGAAGTCAAAATTTGATGGCTCTGATAAGTTTATCGTTGGAGTTCACTCATTAGCCACTTGACATTCATGAGATTTGCGATGAATAAATATGGAAGGTTTAACCATTCCTGGCCAATATTGATGTCGAAATATTTTGAAGAAATTCACCGGCGTCAACTCAAGAGAAAATAGTGTGATGGCCTCCCATTTGAGACTATATCCTTTAAACGAAATTCTTTTGTAAAAGGACATTTTTATTCTTGCGATATTCTTATAGCATTGAATAAATGGGGAGGAATGTTTCATCTGTTTATCGTAATGGGACTCAGTATGGGACTGAGAACAAAACGCAATCGGAGCACGTACTCTGTCAAATTTATGGTTCGTTTAAATAAGCCCTTGATCCGACCGAGTAGCTCACAAGAGCATCGAATGAACTACATATCTAAGTGGTTCTTCTAATAAACACTTGTTGAAACTTATCCCTGAAGCTTCCGTAAAACCGGCATCATCCCCCTAAATTAGGCGTATTACTTTATGCTTGTAAGTCGTATCTAGTCAATTCCTGCAACTTAAAATTCTGTGAACTATTTTGTAAAGAGCTGGGCCCCCAGCAACTTTGTGCGTAGGTGGGTAGAGTCTTAAGATTTCGAATGAAAAAAGAGCTCAACATAATTTACTTCAGGAAAAATCAAGCACAATTACACGCCTCGTTCGGTGCAAATGAACGGAATGATTTTTGAAACGAAAAAAACGAAAAGGCAACTGCATCTAATCCCACCACACTACGTACCAGTTCAGAAACGATTACTTTGGTCAGATTCTTAAAGTCACTCGGATTCTGAAAGATTCGGATCCCCTGAGAGTATATGGTTAACTCAACACTCCTTTCATGGAACAGAATCTAAAAGAGATACCAGGTTATTCGCGATGATATTTTTTTGTCCCGGGTAATATTAGTAGTAGCCAAAAAGGGTGAAATGATATGGAGACAAAAGCTCATCAAGCTAGAGTTTGCTTGGATGCACTTAAAACGATTTCCCGTTCGATCAATAATTCTGTGATTGTTGCTGTCCTCAAGAAATGTCGAGGGACCAAGGCCCTTACTATGAAAACAACACATTGTTCACCTAAGGTTTTGGAAAAGCACTCCTTCGATTACCTGAGTAATTTAAGGACTTGTGTAGCGAATACTGCAAGACGCTTTATTCTTGCTTCACTATGTCAATCATTCACAGTAAAGCAGCTTCCATGGCTACCTCGATGGGTGTGACTGCATTTCAAGATCAACCAAAATCGTGTTGCAAACTTTGTGAAGTTGCAGTCGGATAGACTCGAATCGTGAGTTTGCTCATGCATAATTCTGCCGCATCGGTTACTTGCGAGCAATCACAATACACACTGTCGAATTGTGGAGAAATTTCCCACCTCTAGGCGACTGTGGGCACTAAGTAATCAACGTCCATGTAGATCTGCTTTCAGAGTTGGATACTTGGACCGCAGTACGGTGCCTATTCCCCGAGAATAATCAAATTCTATCACCCTAGCAAAGAAATGAAATCCACTCAACTAAACTAAACCTAACAGAAGTGTAATGATAACAACTGTAACTAATGAAGACAAGGTGAAGAGAAAATATGAACGATTTGCCGCGTCTTATTTAGCAGAACTGTGCACAGTAGAGCCCACTTGTGTGGTATTTTGAATGATGTCAAATAAGATAACGTCCATTGCAGTGCAGACCCCTCCGATTTCACAGTTTAAGTTGGCGGCCGCTTCAGTGCCGTCAGTCATTTAAACTGATAGCCAAAATTTTAACCTGGATGAATGCCAACGACAGCGTCTATTGCGGCTTTCTTGTTGAGAAGAAAATATTCAATTCAGAGAGAAATTGAGCTTCCGGTAATGTTGTGAAGATTCCATCCTTTTGAGAAGGGTATGCGACTGGAAAAATCGGTACCGATAAATTGTCTTTCCAGAGAAAATGCGTTTGATTTTGTAGGTTACAGTAAACCGAAATCAACCTGAAGTTCGTAAGGTACCTCACATTATTTCCATATTATTATTAGTTCCATATTATTTGAGAAACGCCTTCTTCAACAGATTCCACCAGAAGCAACTGTTCTGGCTAATTGAGCATGTTAAGGCCTTTTTTTACGGTTAAGAAGCCGCTTTTCTCCCATCGCCCCGAAGTTCTAAGTCCTTAGTGTAACCGGCTCGCAGGACCTTGAGAAGCGTGAGCGCAGACAAAGATGTGTGAATAAATGACGATAATCATGTCAGAAAGATTGTTTAGACGAGGGTGTATTCAATTGCTGTAAATATCTGTGACCTAGCAGTAATGGTCTTGTAACTGTGAACACTGTCCACACAATATCCGACCCAAAGTAAATAGGCTTTTAACGTTAGAACATTTTTCGTGTTGTGGCGGTTGAAAATAACGGCCACCAAAAGGCGCTGAGGTTTGAGGAAAAATGAACAAAATATAGTGCGGCAAATTTGGTATTCGCAGCAGAGTATCATACGTGGAACACGTTTTTTTGGAATTACTTACCGGGTGTGTGTGCCAGCGCCATTGTCTGTGGTGCAAAATCTGAAAAATTAACGGTATAAGTGCATCCATTACTGACTTTCCTATCCTGAAGAATGCACAAGTATATCGGATATCAGGCCCACATTGTTGAGGAGCGTAGTGCACCACGTATAATGTATGCCAACAGGCCGTCATTAGATTACAAGGTACAGCATATCAAAGAACAACTCGTGGTCTCGACTGACCTGCCCGATGCATCCCTTGCAAACTTACATTACCCTGCAACTAGCAGTGTATTTCTGGGTGGCTATGAGGCACTACAACTTGTCAGTGTTGCAGTTCTGGAATGTATCTTGCCAGCAAAAATCCTGTTGACTAGGGCGACAACTCAATGCTGAGATTGCTCACTCAACCAATCGGACCACCGCTATTAATGAATGTAAAAACTATAGAGTTTTCAGTCAAAATGCGGCGTAGTAGAATAAGATGTTATAGTCCAATGTTTCGACTACCATTGGCAGATTTTTTCAAGGATTTTCGCGATCAGCTGAATACGGTTTAAGTTCATTAAAAACCGTTTTAGAATCAGCACACCTGCAGACTGCAGATTTTGTTATCACCCTAGTTCTTCGTACTTCACTTTGAGCCGTATTGTTTTCCAGAAAATTTCAACCAAACCGATGCGTACCAAATACACACAATTGTATCTTACTATAAATCAACATATGATTTCTAAATGCCTGTGGTGGAGTGCGTTCTGTCATAATGATCACTTTGGTAACATTTTCCTAAATAGGGTCAGTCAGTATCTCGAAGCTCATCGCGTACGTATAAATCGGTGACAGACGTTTCACTAGATATTCGTTGCATCTAAGTCCTGATTCAAGAAACTGCGTAGAGCATTCTTTGGTGGATTTGCTGCGTAGAACTTTCAAAATAGGCAGTCAACGAAAATCAATACAAATTCGTGATAAATCGGCCAATTACACCGCCACAAGTTAAAATCTGGTTTCAGAGTTACATGACAGTTCGATATCCCTACATCTCATGTAACTTATCAGTTCAATTTCATATCCGTTGTCACAGATACAGGACACAAAACCATCCCGTAATGTAACCGAGAGTCTTCAACGTGGGCTCAACAGCAGCCGAGCATCTGGCAGTGGCACTTTGCTCATCCGATTGCGTGCTACCGAGGTAACTCGACGGATCACTCGTATCACTGGAAAACGGCTATCTTCCAGTGGGGCGCCTACGATTCAGCCCACTCAACTAGAATTTTTCGGACAAGTGTTTCTGAGTCATAGTATACTAATGTTGAAATCACAAATTCGCTATCTCTGCTTGAAACCCTGGTGGTCTCTTTGGAATGCTTCCCATGTAACTGTTACAAATTCAAATGTGCTCTACGGGACGCATGAAAATAAAGAATGATCTCTTGTCCGATGTAGTACTCCCACCTTAATGAATTGGATAAGATGAACCAAGTGATTCAAATGTCTAAAATCAATGAAATCCCTTGTGGACTCTTGCATAAAATGCTAGTAAAACACCTCATTTCATATTAACTAAGTACGACAACCTGGTCAGCAGTCACTCAAAGATTTTGGAAGTGGGACGCACTGTTACTTTTCATGTACCGAAAAAACAGGAAATTCATACTCATGCACCTGCTCAAAATCCCCATTTGAATGTCACAATCAGCTGAGTTTTTACACATGCACCGCACTAGTGGTATCAAAATCGCCTCATTCGTGAGCTAGGCAAGCCTCTTACTACAATCTTGTAGGTATTCCTGTAGCTGTCCGCTGGTGGGATTCATTGATTCTCAAAACCAGGTGTCAACAGACTTCTGATTATAGTGTAAGTCCGTAATTGTAAATGGATCGTGATCAGTTAGTAGGTCCTCTTTCACAGCGTCCCAGTGAAAGGGCTTTGAAATTGATGTTATTTACAGACCCCCTAAATACAACCAAAAATACGTTTAGTTTGGTGTTCCCTCATTCGAATATACACGGTCAACATTCCATTTTTTGAACATTGAGCTACTAAAAAGTAAAAAAGCAAGCACTTTGCGGCAATCTAAAATCCATCCGCTTAATCTCTGGACAACGATGGAAAATTTATTGTCATTTTACCAGAGCATTGTTGTTTTGTGTATTTAACTGAAACCACCTTCTTTTTGATGTATTCTGATTATAACTAGGTAAATATAACTGTAAAAAACAAACATTTAAAATTTGTTTGCCTCTGTATCTTATGAAAACCACTATATACCCCCAAACTCTCCAAAAATGCCGTCTATATTCTTAGCCATATTGATAAAAGAGTTTGAAGTAATCAAGATGATTTCAAACGTTCTGCAGCGTTATTAGTGGTAGCATTTATGCTGGCAACCGTCGCATAGGACTTGCGCATTTCCAACTGAAACTGCTGTTATCTCAGCTTGGTCGCAATAACGATAAACTGAACGTGTGCTTATGTGAGGACCGCGTAACCATAGAATTTATAAGCGGATTAGGTCCATAATGCGTTAGTGTCCAGCGTGAACACTCAATGGCACGCTAATTGCTCAGAAGGATGTGATGAACACAGATGACGGTATTGACTAAACCGATTTCCATTAAGTTCTGAGAGGGTGACACGACTGGAGAGGTCCGAAAAATCGAGTATTATAGCTATCTAGTTGTCATGAGAACGAAGAAG